AGCAAGCTCCAGCGCCAAAATTTTGTGGGTGGGTTCCCCGGCCAAGTGCCACGCCAGGACCGCGGTGCCAATCCTCAAGCTCGTCTAGGCCCCGCGTATGAGCGCCTAAAAGCTTTGGCGGGAAAATCGCTAACTTGGGAACCAGAAAAGCTAGAAAGCTGAAGTTTTGGGATTATGTTCCCCGTCCATACAGAAATTAGAGATTTTAAATTCAGCCCACGGGTGTGTGCGTTTTCCGCATACAGCCCCGTGAGGGTTCCTGGCGCGAAAATCACTAGCTCGGGAACCAAGAAAGCTGGGGACAGAAACTTTCAGCGAATGTCCCTAGTTCATCCACAACTTAAATTTAGCAAATTCAGCCCCCCCCCCCCTCCGCTATGCAAGGTTATCAAGTACGGCCCCGTGAAAATTTTTGGCAAGAAAATGGATAACTCCGGAACAAGTGAAGCTGGGAGGCTAAACGTTCAGGAAATGTTCCTAGCTCATCTACTACTTAAATTTATCAAATCCAGCCCCCAACCATACGTGGTTGCCACGTACGCCCCCTTGAAATTTTCTTGCTGGAATTTTGGTAACTAGGGAACTGAGAAAGCTGGGAACCTGGGATTTCAAGGGAATGTTCCCTGTACAAGTATAGCATGGCCAATTAAAATCCCGAAATTCGAGGACCAGTATGTCAGATCTAGCTAGCGGAATTTCGAGTGATCTTATTACAACACGAAACACTGCAAAAACGCATGATTGCACGGGCCCACCCAGTGCGCGTCGCTAATGATGTACTGCTGTTACACAGCACAAAACTCATAATAAAACTAAGATAATTCTAAGTAGCAGTGCTGTAACTCCATTCCTAGCTTTTGTATAGTTCCAGGATCCGTCCTGGACCCAATTCACCCCAGCTCCCGTTATCCTTCCCCCTCCTCCGCCCACCGAGAGCCTGCCCCGGGTCCGCTTATGCCAGCTTGCTAGTGGACGTTTCATATCAGTGAGGGAGTACGTAAACGACCACTCGGGCATCCGGGCCAAAGTGTAATTTGCGGTTCTGGTGGTAAGCCCGCTCGGATTACAGGCTAAATTAGACTGGAATTTCAACTTCCGTTTGAAAAGCGGAACAGGAGTAGTGCGAGAGGAAAAGCGGGGACTGATTTAGGTTGCAAGGGATCTTGACAAAAGGGAGCGATGCTTACCAACTTTTACTCGCATGAAACTTCTTGCTTTGTATCATAAACCCACAAAAGAAGGAAATGATATTCAATTAACTGACAGACTAAACATAACCGTGTTGTTGCAAAAAAGCCAGATTTCAACAACTGAAGCGCAAACGATGATTGAGCAACAACGAAACTTAGTCGGCAGCGCACGGGCTGCTGGTGCGAGGATGCGTTTTTTGCGCAGTCTTCCCTTAGTTTTTCGTCGCTAATGGCATTGATTTTTCCGGTAGATGCTTCCAACTAAGAGAAATGAGAGTGCCCATCACGACTGTTGGAAATTAATACGATGACTCCCAATTCATGCCCAAAAAATTCAGCACTCCAGATGATTCAGTTGCAGACTTGCTCAAATTTCACGTATTCGTAGATGAATGGCAACGTCAATGCTGTTAACGCGTGCGCTTCCTCAAACACAGTCCTGGGTCACGCTCGGAAAATTTCAGCACCTCAGCTGCTCTGATTGCGAAGTTACGTCAATTTTCACGTGTTCGTACGTGAATGGCAACGCGAATGCTGCCTTCGCGTGCGCTTGCTCAAACAGGGCCCTGGGTCATGCCCAGGGAATTTCAGCGCTCTAGCTGTTTTGGTTGAGAAGTTACATTTCATGTGTGTATACGTGAGATGTACGTGAGACATGAAAGGGACATGAAAGCCCGTTTTTACGTCCATCTGGTCAAAGGCCACCGTCGCTTATGCTCAGGAAGTTCCAGTCCTCTAGCTGCTCCAAATTTGAAAGTACAAAGTGTCCTGTGTGAAATTTCCGCGTGT